AACTTGCATCACCACAACCACCGTCACTGCCGCACACCACACCAACAACAACAACACCATAGCAAACACCACCACCCACATCATACCAACAAAATCGCACACATACCACGGATCGAGCACCTCCACCACCTGCATCAACAACCATCACCACCACCCATAACGTACCAAGCCGCCAACACAGCCAGAAACACCACCAAACACCGACCACAACCAGAACACCACCATCGCAATCCTACCTAGATCCACTGCACCCGGCACCACCATCACACACCAAAAAAAAACACCAACCACACCATCGTCTTCTAAACCAAACTACCACCGTGTCACACCACAAACGCCACCACATCACCATCAGACACAGAGAAGCTGCACAAAGAAGTCGCCACGTCACCATGTCAAACACCACAAACGCCACCATATCAATTTCGGGCAGGGTCGGATCGGAGAGAGAACTAGCAGCTGCGCCGATCTCACCACACCATAAATTGTAGCAGATCGAAAGAAAAGGGATAACTGTAGATGGAAAAGGGAGAGAACTGGCAGCGAGGTCGATCTCACATCGAAATCGGTGCCACTCTTTAGACGTTACTACTACAATGGCGATTTCTCTGTTGGCGATTTGTTATAGAAAGAAGGGAGAGAAATATGGGTGAGAATGAGACGGTAGAAAGAGAAAGGAAAAGGAGAAAGTGTCTAGGGCTTGGAATAATTAGGACAAATATTTAATATTTAATTATTATTTGATACCTGATTTATGCACAAAGAAACTTTAACCCTGATATTTGAATTCTAGTCTTTAAACACTTGAAATTTTGTAATATTCCCTAAATATATATCGTAGAGAGTCCAAGGCTGGATCATAATGCAGTGGACTTGTGGTTACACTTGGAAGTTGCATTTGATGGGTTCCCCAATTTAATTAGACCTTTGTGGAGCCTCCTTTTTGTTAAACAGACCGGACCATAAGAAGTGAGATTTGTGCCAGGTTGGCCCGCTAAGGATTAGGCAAAAACTAACTTACAAGCTATGTTGTAACAATAGGACCTTAAATCTTCTTATCTTTTAACCAAAAGCAGTACCGTACAGATATCCAAATTCCCACACAAATTCGCAGAGAGACTTGCAAAGGGGGAGAGAGAGAGAGCGGGAGACGCAATGGAAGGAACCCTTTTTCCAAACAGACCAGCATTTCCAATCCAATCAGCAAAATCAACATCACAATCACCGAACCAACAAAGCTTGAAATTCAACACATGTACTCTCTATCTTCCTCCTTTACTACAGCAACCCCCCTTCTTTCCATCTTGATTACCTTCTTCAACACCTTCTTCACATCTCCTCTCCCATTAAATCATCCTTGACTTCCTCTGCTGTTATTTCTCCACACAATCAAGAAATGCTGAAAACCAATGCCATTGCAATTCCAAGACGGTGTGAAAACTGTGTGCAAGATGATTGTTCGCTTTATTTTTTGCCATTAAAGTGTAAGTTCATGCTCAACTTGATTTTAGAGCAGCCCAATTCTAGTTTGCATGTGTTCTTTGATTCTATCAAGTTTGATTTACTTCAAGATGTTGATTTGATTAGTCTCTTGAAAGGTCTGGACCTCTCGGGGAATTAGGAAAAGGCTATTTTGCTATGTGAATGGGTTGTTTTATATTTGGATATATCAGGTAATGATAAATTAGATAACCAGGTTATTGAATTGATAGTAAAGATTCTTGGTAGGGAGTCTCAGTATATGACTGCTTCAAAATTGTTTGATGTAATTCACTTTAAGGATTACAATCTTGATGTTTGAGCTTGGACTACCATTATACACTCTTATTCACGTACTGCGAAGTATGACAAGGCCATAAAATTGTTTAATTTTATAAAGGAAAAGGGATTGTCTCAAACTTTGGCTACTTACAATGTGATGTTGGACGTTTATGGGAAAAAGGGGCGATCTTGGGACATGATTTTAGAGCTTCTGGATGAGATGAGAAGTATGGGGCTTGAATTTGATGAGTTCACTTGTAGTACTGTGATTTCTACTAGTGGAAGAGAATGATTGTTACAGGAAGCAAATAACTTTTTTAACGGGCTGAAGGCTAAGAGGTATGTCCCTAGAACGGTTACGTACAAATCTCTGCTTCAAGTTTATGGAAAATCAGGGATTTACAATGAGGCTTTGAGTGTTCTGAAAGAAATGGAGGAAATCAATTGCCCTCCTGACTCAGTAACTTACAATGAGCTGGTTTTCTTAAGGAAGGAGCGGCATTGATTGGCACAATGACGCAGAAGGGTATTATGCCAAATGATGTTACTTATACAACTGTGATTGATGCCTATGGCAAAATGGGGAAGGAGAATGAGGCTTTAAGTTTGTTTAAGCTGATGAAGCAGACAGGTTGTGTTCCTAACGTGTGTATTTACAATGCTATTCTTGGGATGCTGGGGAAGAAGTCACACATAGAAGATATGATGGAAATCGTTTGCGACATGAAACTCAATGGGTGTGTGCCAAATCATGTTACTTGGAACGCTATGCTTACTATGTGTGGCAACAAAGGAATGCACAAATATGTGAATCGTGTGTTCCACGAGATGAGGAATTGTGGGTTTGAGCCTGATCGAGACACGTTTAATACTTTGATAAGTGCATATGGTAGGTGTGGCTCAGAAATCGATGTTGCAAAGATGTATGATGAAATGATAAAAGCTGGTTATACCCCATGTGTTACAACCTACAACGCCCTTCTGAATGCTCTGGCTCATAGAGGGGATTGGAAAGGCACAAAATCCATCATTTTGGACATGAGAAATAAGGTTTTCAAGCCGAATGAGACCTCGTACTCCTTGATGCTCCATGGTTACTCAAAGGGTGGACATGTAAGAGGCATTGAAAGCATTGCACACAAAATCTATGATGGCCATATATATCCTAGTTGGATGCTTTTGAGAACTCTTATTCTTGAAAATTTCAAGTGTAAATCAATTACGGGTATGGAGAGAGCATTTAAGGAATTCCTGAAGCATGGTTACAGACCGAATCTTGTGGTGTTCAATTCCATGCTTTCCATTTTTGCCAGAAATAGGATGTATGAACGTGCTTCGGAAATTCTGTATTTAATAAGAGAGAGTGGTTTGCAGCCGGATCTTGTCACCTATAACAACTTGATGGATATGTATGCCAGAGTCGGTAAATGTTGGAAAGCTCAAGAAATCCTCAATCGGCTACAAGAATCTGGTGGAAAGCCAGATCTCGTGTCTTATAATACCGTCATCAAAGGGTTCTGTAGGAAAGGTCTTATGGAGGATGCTATAAAGACTTTTTCAGAAGTGATAAGTAGAGGAATTCAGCCTTGCATTGTTACCTACAATACGTTCGTTGCTGGATTCTCAGAACGTGGATTGTTTACAGAAGCAAATGAAGTTATTAGTTTTATAATCCAGCACAACTGTAGACCAAATGAACTCATCTACACTACTATTATAGATGGTTATTGTAAGGCAAAACTGTACTAAGATGCCATGGATTTCTTGTCCAAAATTAGGGAAAAGGACACTTCTTGCAACGAGCAATCCTTATAAAGACTTGCATCCCGAGTTAGATAAAATATGGAGTCGTGATTTTGTGAAACTTCGTATCATTCATTTTGGAAGTAACTAGAGCTTCCAGGAGGTGAATGAGAGAACATGAGGAATTATGAGATGATGATTCTAAAGGAGTTTTGCTCAGAAACTGATTGTTTGAAGCTTCTAACCTGACACTGGCAAGTGTCTGTCGAATCATATTGTCCCGTGAGATGATATGAACAGCAAAATTGTGCTCAACAACTCTAGTTTATATAAGTTGTATCATATAAGGCTCGAGTTTTCCTGCTGACATTGTGTTGATTTTACTAGATGGGGACCGGCAAGAGGTTGTTGCTGTATGTAAACTTAGTTATTCTTTTGTTCCTTAATTTTGTCCATTTGAACCGATTATGAAACATAAAATATAGTATGTGTATTAGGTGTCTGTTTGTTTGTACCCTGTAGATTATTTTTTTGATATGTTACTCTGCTCATGGTAAATTTGACCAACGATGAAGACTCCACCATGTAATTGTCATCTATGTTGAAAATGATTATGGATAGTTATCTTTTAAGTTTTTGATTCTATAGTTTTTTCAAATCACACCCTACATGTATCATTCCCCACCTTCTTCCGAGTATTGGGAATCTACTCAGCAAATTAACATAAACGATGTTTGATAGAAAGATTTCTTACAGAACTACAAAATTAATCCCCAACATGTCATCAGCCTAAGTATTCGCTGAGCCTTACTCGTCACTTGATCTAAAGTGCAAAGGAAAACTTTTGGCAAGACCCCCAAACATTAAAATTTTCCCACCACCGTAAACAGATAACGTGTAGCCCAAATGTGAAGTTGGAGTCCACCATACTGGTATCTCTCTCCTTACAAGTTTCTCGATCGAAAGATCAAGCAAGAAAGTGTCGCTCAGACGCACTCCAGAATCAGCACAACCGCCAGAGACTTATTAGCTTGGTCCTATGTGGGTACAGGAGTTGTGCCAAGATCTAGGAAGTGGTGGAAATAAACTGGAGATTTCTCTCCAAGCAGGATGTCTTGCATCCAAATCGGGCACAAATACATCATTGATTTAGCCTTGCCTCCTGCAGTCCCTAAACAAAACAAGATAAGACCCATTCACATAAGAAAGGAGGTGGGGATCTCACTTTCACATGCTGCAACTCTGAGTTCAGGTCCAAAACAATTGAATCATTCATGGGTTGTCGAGTTTGATACATCAACATTCTACTCAATATCCTTGTACGAGTGCACAATCACTACACGAGATGAACCTAGATTCGGTGAATTGAAGTTGGCCTTAAGGGTAAGAGGACTTCTAGTTACTACACATGATTATACTGACGTGCTCCTGCCGGTTGCTAGAATGACACAAGCCAGCAGCACATCATGAACCTGCTAGTTACCCCAAACCAGGTGATGCGTAAGGCTTTTCCTCAAACATTAACCAACGTTGCCAAGGATTGGTTTTCAACCTTAGAGCCTAATTCCATAGCCTCATTCTTGGATCTAGCCAACAAGTTCTCTACCTTCTTCCCCAGCAGTAAGAAAATTTTAAAAATAGTAGCTTCCCTCATGCAACTTTGCCAAGGGCAAAATGAGACACTTCGCAATTTCATAACAAGGTTTAACAAAGAAAGACTTCAGATCCCAGACCTTCCTATCACAGCTACAGTCTCAGCTTTAACATATGCTATAAGATGTGAAGCGTTTAAGATGTCTCTATCAAAGACCCCTCCACCGTCAGTAACCGACCTATTTACCCGAGCTAAGAAGTACGTCAACATGGAAGATACTATGTTCCCAAGGAAAGATGTCACACCGCCAACTAAGCCAGAGCATAAAGGGCTGCATGAGTTTAATTTACATCAAGATCAGGTACGACAAGTCATGATAATCCTTCAGCAGTTTTTACTTTCCTGTATACAATAAGGTCTAACATTTTGATGGAGATCAAAGATATGAAAGAGCTCAAATGGCCATCAAGGATGAAGTCCTATCTTGAGTCTGGGGTTACGAACAAGTATTGTAAGTTTCATCGAGACCACAGGCACACGACTGAGGGCTGCTTTTCTCTAAAGTGAGAAATTGAAGCTCTCATCAAGAGGAAATTTTTGGGCGCCTATGTAAGCTACAACAAGCAATCAAGGAATAATCAAAATAAGGACAAAGCCGTTGGAGATCAGGGAAATCAACAACGAACAACTGGTACAATTAATATCATCATCGGAGGTACAACCTCAGGAGGAGACTCGAGTAATGAACTCAAACTATACGCTAGGCCGTATCTAGCAGTTTCAAGTATAGACCTTGATAGAATGGAAAACATAACTTTCGGACCAGGGGACTCAGAAGGAGTGTCATTCCCTTATGATGACGTCTTTGTCATATCAGCAATCATAGCTAACTTTGAAGTAAAGAGAGTTCTTGTGGATAATAGAAGTGCGCCAATATATTGTCCCATGAAGCATTCCTTCAGATGGGTATATCAACCAAACAACTCAAGCAGATTAGAGTTCTCCTTCAAGGGTTCGACAGTGGAGTCGTCACATCGGAAGGCATTACTGAATTACCTCTAACTTTGGGATCAGAAGGGAAACAGGTAACATGGTTCATAACTTTCCATGTAGTCCGAGCTCCAATGGCCTATAATGCCATACTTGGAAGGCCGCTGCTTAATGGGATAAAGGTTATTGTCTCAACTTTCCACTTGGCCATGAAATTTCCAACAAGTAATGGAATAGGGGTAGTTCGAGGAAACCAAAAGTGTGGCCAAAGAGTGCTACGTTTCTAGCGTTCGGGAAATCAAAACAGATGGATGCAGGTTTCAAAGCTCGAGCTCGAGCTTGAACATTGTGGGTGAATGGTTAATGTGGAAGAATTGTTAAAGGTTGAGCTCAAGTCTAGAAGGCAGGTCACCTTTGGAACGACGACAACCTAAAGCTCTATTGTGAGTAGTAGTCTCTATCCCCAGGTATTTAGGCTAGTTTTTGTCCTTAGTTTTCTTTTATAGTTCGGGCATGTGCGCCCATAAGTTTAGTTTGGTAGTTCGGGTTTGTGTTTCCCTTAGAAAGTTTACTTTTTAGTTTGGGAATGCACATCCTCTTTCATCATTTTATGATAGTTCATGGTTAAAAAAAGCTCGGACTGTAAAACCCTTGAGCACTTTATAATGATATAGGAATTTTCTTTTATACTAATGCTTCCTCTTGAAAATAATCATTTAGCGTAAGGCCCTACCCCATGCATGCAGCTAAATTAACTCTAACGTTTAGCATAAGGTTGTGCCCCGTGCATGCAGTTAAATCAACTCTAACATTTAGTATAA